CTACTACTAATACTACTACTTCTACTACTACTACTACTACTACTACTACTACTACTACTACTACTACTGCTACTACTAACACTACGACAACTACGCCGACGATTACTAGTACTAGTACTAGTACTACTACTACTACTACTACTACTACTACTACTAGTACTACTAGCGCTATTACTGCTGCTACTGCTACTAACTAGGACTACGAGTACCACTACCACCACTACTACTACTACTACTACTACTACTACTACTACTACTACTACTACTACTACTACTACTACACTACTGCTACTACTACAACTACTACTAATACTACTACGGCTACTACTACTACTACTACTACTACTACCACTACTACTACCACTACGACTACGACTACGACTACTACTACTACTACTACTACTACGACTACTACTACTACTACTACTACTACTACTACTACTATGTCTACTACTAGTACTACTAATACTACGACTACTACTGCTACTACTACGACCACGACTAGTACTGTTACTACGACTACGACTACGGCTACGACTACTACTACGACTACTGTTACTACCACTACTTCTACTTCTACTACTACTACTACTACTACCACTACTACTACTACTAATACTACTACTACTGCTACTACTACTACTACTACTACTACTACTACGACTACTACGACTACGACTACTATTACTACTACTACTACTACGACTACTACTACTTATTCTACTACTACTTCTTCTTCTTCTACTGCTACTACTACGACTACTACTACTACTACAACAACTACTACTACGACGACTACTACTACTACTACTGCTACTACGACTACTGCCGCGACGACTACTACTACTACTACTACTACTACCCCTTATCCTCATCCTCTTTTTCCTCCTCTTCCTCATTCTCCTCCTCCTCCTCCTACTCCTCCTCGCTCTCCTTCCTCCTCGCTCCTCCTCGTCCTCGCAATCGCCGTCGCCTCCTCGTCGTATTCGCAATCGTCGTCGGCGTCGTCATAGTAACCTCCGTAGTACGAATCGTAGAAGAAAGGCCCTGGCGCTCGAGTCGGCGGCGGCGGGATAATTAAATTCCCGCTATTGTTCGCCGCGCTGACAATTGTCGGGGGGTTATTTCTCCCAGAGAACAATGCCTCGTGGACTACCCTGCACGCGGGAAGAATTTGCAAAAGAATCCCAAGGGAATTGTAATACAAATCTCTGTAGTCTGCGTGGCCACCAGGACCTCTCAGTAGGCCGCCGTCGTCGTCTTCGTCGTCGTCTTCGTGGTCGCCTTCCACGTCCTTCGTCGTCGTTAGTCGTCTTCGCAATCGTCGTCGCCGTCGTCGTCGTCGGTCGTCGTCGTCGTCGTCGTCGTCGTCCGTCGTCCGTCGTCGTCGTCCGTCGTCGTCGTCGTCGTCGTCGTCGTCGTCGTCGTCGTCGTCGTCCGTCGTCGTCGTCGTCGTCGTCGTCGGTCGTCGTCGTCGTCGGTCGTCGTCGTCGTCCGTCGTCGGTCGTCGTCCGTCGTCGTCGTCGTCATCGTCGTCGTCCGTCGTCGTCGTCGTCGTCGGTCGTCGTCGTCGTCGGTCGTCGTCGTCGTCGTTGTCGGCGTCGTTTTCGTCGTCGTCGTCGCGCGGCGGGGGCAATATTTATTTTCCGCTATTGCGCGGGGCCCAATCCGTCAATAAGCCCCCCAACAAAATATTTATTTTCCACCTATTGCGGGGGGGTTTTCAAAAGACCTTTAGAGGTTATGCCGAATCGAATGAGGGTGCGCCATGCGGAATGTGCCACCGTGGCTATCGGGGGCGCTCCCTACGGGTCCATGAAACGAGTGAGGGATGTGCCGAAGCGGGTGTGACGCCCACATGCGAACTGTGCCACTGGGGCCTCAGGTGGGGTTCCCTATGGGGCCACGAAGCGTGTGAGGGGTGTGCCGAAACGGGTGTGACGCCCACATGCGATATGTGCCACTGGGGCCTCAGGTGGAGTTCCCTGTGGGGCCACGAAACGTGTGAGGGGTGTGCCGAAACGGGTGTGACGCCCGCATGCGAACTGTGCCACTGGGGCATTAGATGGAGCTCCCTATGGGTCCACGAAACGTGTGAGGGGTGTGCCGAAACAGGTGTGACGCCCACATGCTAACTGTGCCACTGGGACCTAGGTGGAGCTCCCTATTGTGCCACGAAACGTGTGAGAGGTGTGCCGAAACGAGTGTGACGCCCACATGCGCGCTGCGCCACTGGTACCTCAGCTGGAGCTCCTCATGGAGCCGCGAAACATATGAGGGGTGTGCCACAATAGTTGGCATACGGAGGGCCGAGGCATGGATGGGAGGAGCGAGGAGGCGGGAGGAAGGAGGTGGGACGCGGGGCGCTGTCTCTTCAAAACGAGGAACTAGCACCACAGGATGGTTGGGAATTGAAGCGAAAGGAAGACCTACGGATGCGCAAACAAAAGAGACGGTGGCTACTTTCTTGAGCGGAGGCCAGAGGCAGGGGTGAGAGGAGGGAGGAGTGAGGGGGCAGCGGGACCAGGAGGAGGAGCAGGAGGAGGAGGAGGAGGAGGAGGAGGAACCAGAGGAGGAGGAGGAGGACAGGAGGAGGAGGAGGAGGACGAGAGGAGGAGGAGGAGGAGGAGGAGGAGGAGGAGGAGGAAGGAGAACGTGGGGCGCTGTCTCGTCAAAGCGAGTACTCAACACCACAGGATTGTTGGGACAACAATCTCCATGTCCACGGCCTCGCGGGCCTCTGTGTCGCAATCCCGTGCATGCAGGGCGTCTGCCCGCGGATGCCCCGCGAGACGCGCGATCCGTGCCTCCGCGCATCCGCGGGATCGCTCCCCAGAGTTCAGACTGTGAGCCGGCGGCGAGCGAGGGGGGAAAGTGAAAAGGAGAAGGCCTTCTAGGAAGGCGGTGGGACCTCTCAGAAGCCCTCGCGCTTTCTGAGAGGTTTTTTGCGTCTTCGGGGAAGGCTTAGACAACTTTTCAGAAGGCCAGGGTACTTCCGAGCCCTCTCAGAAGGCCCGCCCCTGCTCACTTCCCTCCCGGGCTCGCCGCCGAGCGAAGGCGTTGATGTGGACATGTTCGCCGCTCATGGGTTGGGGTCGATGTTCGGCGGCGGGGCTCCCGCGGCGGGAGGAGCTGAAGAAGTGGGACGACATCAAGAAGCGGCAGAGGGAGGATGCCAAGGCTCGGGCGTTGCCAAAGGTGTCCTTGCCAAGGCCTCCCAGACGGGGTCCGAGTAGATGGGGTCGAAGGATCGCGCCGCGTCGCCGATACATCGGTGATGCGGCTCGATGTGGAGCCCGAGTTTCCCCACGCCGACGTCGCCAATGCATCACCGACGTCGTCGAGGCAGCGCCGATGCATCGCCGATGCGTCGCAGATGCATCGCCTATGTATCGGCGATGCGTCGCGATCCTCCGACCCCATCTACTCGGACCCCATCTAGGCGGCCTCTAGTCCCTGGCCCAGCGGCCCAGGGGCGAGGGAAGACGCGCGACGACCATGACCAAGGATCCGCGGGATGTTGTTCACACCGATCTTCGTCATGGTCCGTGCCAGCCGCTGCCGACTCACCAGGATGATCCACGAGTTGATTCGGGCGTTTGGTAATGGAGGGTGACCTAAAAGCGGGGGATGAAGAGAAGGGCCCCGAAGGACCTCTTCCGGGCCCCTTTGGGAGCCGGCAGGTGCCCCAGAGGGGCCCGAAAGGGCCCCTGTAGGGCCTTCTCTTCACCCCCCATTCGGCTCTCACCCTCCGTTTCTTCCCGCCCGGTTGACGATGACCAAGATGGACGATGACCACGATCGACACCGACGTTTCCGCGTTCAGATGAGCTCATGGTCCCCGGTTGCTGTCCCTTGTCGTGTTGTTCTGGGAGGCCCCTGCTGCTTCCAGGGCGCCCCCCCTGCGAGGCCAAGAAGTCCCCATCAGGGCTCCAGAACGGCGGCCCCCGCAAGTGCATCGCGCAGCTCCTCTTTCCACCAGTCGGGGGGGCTGGCGCGTTTCACGCCGAGCTGCCCTCGCGGACGAGAGCAAAAAGGGCGAGAACTGGGGGACACCTCGGGCCGGGACCACCTCGGTTGGGAAGGCTTCGGGCTGCGCGCAGACGGCCCCCCCCCCCAGGTAGTTAGCCCCAGGGGACCACGGCAGGCCCCTCGAGTGGTCCTGGGCGGCCTCGGCATTCCAGCCCCTGGGGCGCGGAGAGACGGGGGCGGCGCCAGGGTGCTGAGACCGCCCTGGGCTCGGGGGGCCTGCTGAGGCCAGCTCGGACTACCTGGGGGGTCCGTCGATGCGCAAGCCCGAAGCCTTCCCTCCTCCTCCTCCTCCTCCTCCTCCTCCTCCTCCTCCACCACCACCTCCTCCTCCTTCATTCTTTTTCCTTCCAATAATTTCTCTCTGTCGCACCCCGAGGCCAGTTTTTTAGGGCGGGCTGGGCATTTCGCCTTAGACATCCTCATCATCTATGCTTCTGAAGCCAAACCATAGCAACAGGTTCACAGATGGAGGGTTGGTCGTTTTCAAAGTGTGGCTCTCGCCTCTGCGCTGCGCACATTCGCATACAAAAACTGCAAGAGTTTCACGGATTGAGGGTGCGTCGTTTTCAACATGTGATGCTCGCCTTAGCGCCGAGCACATTCGTTTTAAACAAATGGCAACAGCTTCACGGATTGAGGGCGGGGCGTATTCAAAATGTGGCTCTCGCCTTAGCGCCGAGCACATTCGTTGAACAATTTTGCAAGAGCTTCACGGATTGAGGGCGGTCCCTTTCCAAATGTGGCTCTCGCCTTAGCGCCGCGCACATTCGCAACGAAAATTGCAAGAGTTTCACGGGTTCCCATGATTAGCGTACCTGGAATGGTGTTTTAGAGAGATTCAGGATTATGAGGGCGCAGCAGTTACGTTGATTCGCGGCGTTGAAATCCCAGGAATGGCGTTATGGCACGATTCCGGATCGTCAACAATCAGTTTGATCCGTAGCGTTGGAATCCCGAGAACAATGTTTAGACATGTTTCAGGCTCTTCAAACGGTTGTCTTCCAACGAGGCAGTTCCCTCTGTAGAAATGAACCGTTGTAGGGGCCTGTGAGGAGGGAGCTTTGAGGGAGGGTTTATTCCAATATCGTTGATGCCTCTTGGGTTTACACTGGTCCTCCTCCTCCTCCTCCTCCTCCTCCTCCTCCTCTTCCTCCTCCTCCTCCTCCTCCTCCTCCTCCGCCTCTTCCTCCTCCTCCTCTAGTTCCTCCTCCTCCTCTCCTCCTCCTCCTCCTCCTTCCTCCTACTCCTCCTTCCCCCCCCCCCCCTCCTCTGAAACCGCTCGCCCTCCGCCCCCTCGTCGCCCTCCTCTTCGCACGCTTGGCGGCACCCCCGAGGTCGTCACACCCTCGAAGCAGCCCCCCGAGCCTGGAGATGTCGGGCGGGCCGCGGACGCCCGGGCGGACCGCGCGGCCGGCAGGCTCGGCGCCTGGCACGCGCTTGTCCCCCCCCGCCCCCGAGGCGCTCTCGATCGAGCCTCGATCCTCGAGGGGGAAGAGGAGGATGAAGAGGAGGAGGAGGAGGAGGAGGAGGAGGAGGAGGAGATGGAGCAGGACGAGGAGGAGCAGGAAGAGCAGGAGGAGGGGGAGAAGGAGGAGCAGGAGGAGGAGGAGGACAATGAGGAGGAGGACGAGGAGGAAAGGGAAGGAGGAGGAGGAGGAGGAGGCGGAGGAAAAGGATGAGGATGAGGAGGAGGAGGTGTTAGAACATGGCCATGCGACTGGGTGAGAAGCACGGCCACACGTCTCGCTGTTAGATGTCAGCGTTACCGCTGCCATTTGGATCACGTGTTGTTTGTTTTTTTCCCGAAAATCGCTCCTACCAGACTTTCATGGTGCAGGAGCCCGTGGTTCGCCCTGCGGGCTCCAAAGCAGAGGTAACAGCGGCGACCGCTGCAGCGACCCTAGTGTGCACGGGCAGGACCTGGGCTACAGTGTACCGTTACCTGAGGTACGCGAGCAGAGCTATGCAATGCAGGTTGCGAGAACGGGAATTTTAGAAATGTTACCACCGCCCCGAAAGCCAACCGCGAAGGGATGAGGCTACTCTTCGAGCGCAGCGCCACACTTTGTATCAGGACGGTCTGCGATGATGCGGCATTCACGATGTTGCAGACGAGCTACGAGATGAATACCGTTCTGATTTCGTTCATCAGCCGCAACATGTATTGCGAGGAACAGTTCAACATTTTGAAATAGCACTTAGAACATAACTCCAGCGGCAAGCGAACGCCTTGCAAAGTGTTAGCATGATTGCCTAAGCTATACAGCCCGCTGGAAGCACGAGGGCCAGATGAGGTGGAATCAAACCCGTTAGCGAATGTAAAAACGCCCAACAGTTAAACGCGTTTTCGAGCGACCAGACGAAATTGTGGGAACGAAGCGAAAAGTTGATGAATGCGCCCGCCCAGGTGCAGCATGGTTATCGAACAGTTTCAAGCATGTTAAACAAGGACTCGAGACCCTGGATGAGGCGTTACCAGACGACGAAGAGGATGACCTGACACAAATCATGAAAGGCAGGCTATCACGAAGCGACTGCACCAAGGAGTCGCACAACCAGAAGCAAGAGGACGACGCACAAGGGAAGTTACGGCCGAATGGCATGCCATAACATTTGTAAGGTGCAGTCGGCCGTTATTGAAATCACGTTCTCACGCGAGATGAATTGGGCCATGGGCCCAGAGAAACCCAAGCAGGTGAACGATGTGGTGACCAAAGTCGAGCAGTGGAGTGCGTTGGTGGAGTCTCTGGAGAAGCATGAGCCCGTGTATTCGTTACCACGACCAATCAGGGTTACCGCGCTGACCCTGGTCCGCGGAAGCCAGCGATTGGTTCGATGATCGGCAGCAGGGTTGCTCCCAAACCCAGAGTCGTTGATCATCGACACATATCAAAAACTCTTCGTTCAAGTTGAAAAGTTGAGGATTGGGCGAGGAAGAAAAGGCTGAACGCCGACGCGAGGAACGCCGATGCAGTAGACATTGGACAGGTTAGCGATGACGACAGGGGGAACTGGGAAGCCAATGGGGACGGTGCAGGTTATTACGACAAAGTAGCTAACTGGTGGCACTGGAGCGCGGATGGCGCGGCCGACCACGGCGACGCGAGCGAAACTGGCATCGGAAAGGGCAAGGGCACAGGACTCATTCGCACGCGGAAAGCACCGGCACATGGCCGGGGGCTGCGTCACCAGAGGAGGCGGACAAAGGAGGCGCAGGTGGGGGGACGCACAGGAGGCCACCAAGGCACCAAGGGTTACTCAGGGGGCTATCCAGAGGAAGGCCGCACTGGAGATCCCCCCGGAGGTTACCAAGGGAGCCGAGCCCCAGTCTGGAAAGGAAGAGGCAAGGAGGGATTCGCGCCGACCAGCGAGAGGGGGCGTCCCAAATGCGGCGGACAGGGCCGCGTCGCAGTCCGATGCCCCCAGAACGCCAATGAGGTTACCGCGGGTCAAGGGGGGGCGGGGGGCCCGGGAGAGCCCGCGCAAATATAGCGGAAACCTCTATCAGGGCCGCGGTGCTTCAGCGTCGAGTTGGGCGGCGTTGCCGCCGAAAGCGGAGACGCTGGCGAACCCAGAAGCGCGCGCTGCACGAGCGCTGCGCTAACTGCAACCGCGGCACCACTTGGGGCAACCGAGTTAGGGGGCGCAATCAGGAGAACAGTTGGATGGACAGAAACGCCGAGCTAAAGTTGATGGAGATGGATGACCCAACAGAGAAGTCGGCGAGGTACCAGTGAGGGGACAGGAGAGTGGCATGGCAAAACTGCCGTCGCGGTGGACCCAGGAGCTTGCGGCGCTGTTGGGCCGCCATGCGCGGGGGCCCACTTCCCAGTTAAACCCGCGGAGGCACCCAATAACGACGAACATCATAGGACTACCAGTTTGTCAGTGATCAGGAACCATACGGCATCGAGTTGTTGTAAGGTGACCACGCCCATGCAAGTAGTTAATGTTATAGACAAGGTAATCGAGTCTGGACGTGAGATAGTCGAGGCGTGAAACCGCATAGTGGTAGATCGAGACAACACTGGGCGACCCTGCAGTTATCTCGATTGCGAATTGACGGGGCAGAACGCGACGACTCGCGGGAAAGCGCGGAAACTTCCAGCTCACCACGCGGGGCCCCGAAAAGGGCCGGGCCAGGCGAGGGCGCGGAAAGTAGGGGGAGTTAGCGGCGGCGACGAAGGGCGCGAGGGTCATCCCGGGCAGGGGGCTCTCATGGAGACCCTGTTCTACTGAGCCCGGATGAACCCGTGAGCCCCAGTCATCATAATCCAGCCGCCGTGAATTCGGGGGGCGACCAAGGGGACGATGACGGGGTCAGTGAGTTGTGGAGGGCGCGTCCGTCGGAAATGCGCCTGGGGCGCCCGAGATTATCGCGCGCGACTGGAGGCCCAGCTGCGTGACAAAGCGCAGCTTCCGCGCCCGAGCTGGCGCCCCCACTGCGTTGGAGGTTTGGCAAGGTGGAGAGCGCGCAAACGGAGATTGGAATCGCGGAGGCAAGGAGCACCCGTGATCTCGATCGACTACGTGATTCAGCGGTGACGAGGGCGAGGGCGGGGAGGGCGGAATAGGAAACCCACTTGTAGTTATGCGTTGCCGGGGCGCCAAGTTCACCTGATGCCGCGTTCTCCTCAAGCAAGGAGTGGCCCCAGATTCGATCCCAAGAGTCCGCGGCGCGACTTTGTCCGCCGGTCACAGGGGAGTAATCCGCAAAGGCAATGGTGAACCATCCATTGCCTTGCCGAAGATTTCCCAGCGCGTGACGACGAGGGGGCGACGGGCGACGCGGACTATGGAAGGACACATCTGGACGGCAAAGAGTGCTTTGGATGATAAGTGCAAACTTGAGTTCGGAGAAGAGCGCGCGCTCATGCCTCGGCCACCGGCTGGCGCATCTTTTCCACGTGCAAGTTCGCTACTGACACCGACGGAAAGACGGCCCGCGAGAGGCCGAGGGCGCAAGTTCAACGCGGCGCTACCCGAGTCTCGGAGATGCGCCGCGCATATGAAGGCCCCCCCCTAGAAAAGGGAGGCAGCGACCTCGGCGCAAGATGGGGGGGCGGGGTGCTTTTAGGCGCGAGCGAAGCAAATGCCATCGGCGCGCGGGGCGGGACCATCCAATCCCGCGAGTTTAGGCGCGGGGGAAGTTAGGGGGGAGCATGCCGTCTGGAAGGGACTACCAACGCGCGAGGGTTATTCTGGCAACCAGACCCCAGCGCGCGGGGGGGTGAACGTTCGAGCTATGGCGATATCACCCACGGCGGTGTCCAACCGAGACTCGACTGTTCACGCTGGGCCGTTAGTGGCCCGATGGGCAGCTGCGAAGAAGTCGGATCGCACGGCCATGGGGCCTACGCGTGGGCGCCACGGTTGCAAAGCTAATCACAGGTAAGGAAGATGCCGCGCATGAGCCGCGCAGCCCAGAATGTCGGGAAAGAGTTACCGAGTGGCCCAATGGACACGGTCATTCGATCATTCAAGAAATGTTTGCGATGGCCCAAATGAAGATGAAGCCCGACAGCACTTGGCAGGACCAGAATTGGGAGGACCCTTTGACAGAGAACTGGGTATCTAAGGGCGAGTTAGCCATTCGACAGCATCGCGAACTCGGGGCCAAAATGCGCGCGCCTAGAGACATGAGGGTTAGAGCGCCAAAGCGATTGAGCAATGAGAGACGAACGCGCGTGATCGATCAGGACTCTGGCGAGATGGATGATGTAACCGACGATTGGATTTCCATGGCGTCAGGTAGTTGCGAGGACCTTGGACGGGGGGGATTGAGCACCGCGCCACTTCTGGAGGCGATGACGTTGAACGAGCAGCTAACGTTACTCCGCCAAGATCAGCAGCAGTAGAGAAGACGGGCAGAGGACCCTGAAGACGAGGAGAGTACCAGGTGGGGAGGATGAACATGAGGACGAAGAGACACAGCAAGGAAGTCCAGGAGTCGGAGGAGGCGAAGAGCTCGTCGACGAGAAAGTGGAAGGACATACATTCGAGCAGGGAAGTGAAGAACAGGACGACATGAACACCGACGCGGTGCGCACCGGGTTATACACGTTGAGCTTTAATGCGGGCGTGGCGGAGTGGGTACCCGGCGCTAACTCGGGCGTCATTAAGCAGGCGAGTGGCATCGCAAGAACAGCAAGGCCACGCGGCAGGCGTCAGCATGGAGCATCGCGAGGCGATGCGTGCAAAAGCAGAGAACAATCAAGATCACAACAGCCCTACTCTCAATTGCGAGCCCAGCGCGCGCAGCCTTCAGCAGGCTACAGCCATTCAGCGCGGAAAGATTCAGGCCATAATGGATGAGGGACATGCTTGATTGTGGAGTTAAACGCATCAGATTGCGTTCAGAATATGTGAGACTGAGCTATTTTCCCTCTTCGAACACCCCGGCCGCGCCGCCGGCGC